CACCTCCGGAAGCCCATGCGTTCTTATCTGATCTCCGCACTGTCCAAACGGAGATGCGATCCAGCGTTACTGAAGGCTATGCCCGTAAGAAGGACGCCCATTKGGAAAGCTGGCTTGGTTTCTGTGTGTCTGCAGGACTGGACCCCTTCCTCCGGTCATTCAGGGACCCAGTGCCCTACCTCCAGGTGTTTGGAACCCGCTACCACGATGGAAGAAGTTCTCCCAGCAAGAAGCGTGCAAGAGCTCATACAGTATCGGACGCCATCCRCTCAGTGGGACAGAAGATCACCCGCATGGGGTCCGCTGACCCCAGGCTCAACAGGTTCGGGGCCCTTGACTTCCGACTAGCAACTCAACTCCGAGCCTATCGTAAAGAAGACAGACCCCCTTCCCGTGTGAAACCAGTGCCCATCACGATAATTACACGAGCTCTCACATTCGCATATCACCAGAGGCCCACKAACGAGCGAAAGGCGGTGGCTAATATGATGTGCATAGCCTTCTTCTTTTGCTTGCGTCCTGGGGAGTACACAGGGACCACMACTGATGATCAAGCCTTCTCCCTGAACGACATTGCCTTCTTCATAGGCTCACGCCGCCTCAATTCTGCAACAGCATCGACTGCGGAGATTGAGGCCGCTACATCCATCCAACTAACTTTCACGACCCAAAAGAACGGCACTAAAGKGGATGTCATTGCTCACTCGCGTAGTGGTGATCCCCTGTGCTGCCCCGTGACAGCGACGATTCGACAATTCTTATTACATCCTCGGGACCCTTTTGTGGGATCCCGCAAACTCGCAAGCTACTATAATCAACACAATGTGAATGTACTTGTCACCGCCCGAATGATCACTGACACCATGCGCTGGCACGCGGGGGTCCTGCACCACGCTACTGGGATCACTCCACGCTCCCTCAGTGCTCGCTCCCTTCGCGCCGGAGGCGCCATGGCGCTCCTCCAAGGTAAATGCGACTCTAWCGTCATCAAATTACTGGCGCGCTGGCATAGTGATGCAATGATGCGATACCTTCACCAGCAATCTCTCCCTCTCTTTCGGAAACTGGCATCGATCATGTTCAACAACGGCTCTTACGCCTTCCTCCCGGATGAGTGTGTCCCCTCCGCCCCCTGACAGGCCTCTCCGACAGGCAGCTCCCGGGGCCACACTCCCCGTTTCCCCACCTCGCTCCGCTTCTCCTCCGCTCCCTCCCA